GAGGTGGACACGTCTGAAGCCGGTATCGGGGCCGTTCTCTCACAACGGTCCGGCACACCACCTAAACTCCGCCCCTGTGCTTTTTATTCGAAGAAGCTCAGTCCGGCGGAGCGTAATTATGACGTAGCGGACAGGGAGCTGTTAGCCGTGGTACAAGCCCTAAAGGTGTGGAGGCATTGGCTTGAGGGGGCTCAACACCCTTTTCTCATTTTGACTGACCACCGTAACCTGGAATACATTCGGGCAGCTAGGAGGCTGAGGCTCTATTTACCCACGTCTTCCGGCATTACGGGGTACCCGAGGATATAGTGTCTGATCGAGGCCCCCAGTTTACCTCCAGAGTTTGGAGAGCGTTTATGGAACGGTTGGGGGTTTCGGTGAGCCTTACCTCGGGATACCACCCGGAGAGTAATGGGCGGGTTGAACGGGTCAACCAGGATGTGGGTAGGTTTCTGAGGTCGTATTGCCAGGGCCGGCCGGAGGAGTGGGCGAGATATGTTCCCTGGGCCGAGATGGCACAGAACTCTCTCCGCCACTCCTCCACTAAACTAACCCCTTTCCAGTGTGTGTTAGGGTACCAGCCGGTTCTGGCACCTTGGCATGAGAGCCAGATCGAGGCTCCTGCGGTGGATGAGTGGGTGCGGCGCTCGGAGGAGACGTGGAACGCTGCACACGTCCACCTGCAGCGGGCCATCCGTCGACATAAGACGAGCGCCGATCTCCACCGCAGTGAGGGGCCAGTGTACGCACCTGGAGATCGAGTCTGGCTCTCCACCAGAAACCTGCCCCTCCGCCTGCCCTGCAGGAAGCTGGGTCGGCGGTTTGTGGGGCCATTCAAAGTCCTGAGGAGATTGAACGAGGTGTGTTACAGGTTACAACTGCCCATTGATTACAATAATATTAACCCCTCGTTCCATGTGTCTCTCCTCAGGCCGGTGGTAGCTGGTCCACTCCAGGACTATGAGATAGAAGAGACTCCTCCGCCCCCGTTGGACATCGAGGGGGCTCCGGCGTACACTGTTCGGTCCATCCTAGATTCGAGACGCCGGATGGGGGGTCTTCAATATCTCGTGGAGTGGGAGGGGTACGGCCCGGAGGAGCGGTGCTGGGTGCCGAGGAGGGACATCCTAGACCCGTCTCTTCTGGCCGAGTTCCATCGTGGTCATCCCACGCGCCCTGCTCCGCGTCCTCCTGGTCGTCCCCGAGGCCGGGGTCGGCGCACGGCTGGAGCCGCGCGTCAAGGGGGGGGGGGTACTGTCACGGTTTCGGCCGAGGCTGCTCCTTCTCCTTGTTCGGGCAGGCTTCGGCGGTCGTCGTCTCCGGAGTACTAGCTGCCACCGTTCTATGTTTCTATGTTTGATTGGTTTTGTCTGTTTTGCTACACCTGTTCCTTATTAGTGTTTAATTAGGCGTCCTATTTAGTTCTCTTGTTTTTGGTCAGGTGTTGTGTATAATTGTTCCGTGTCATGTTGTGTGTTAGTTCGTTTATTCTGTTCTCTCTGACTTTTGTTGTTTTGAGAGAGAGTTCCGCACTTTGTGCGCCTTAGCTTACTTTACTGTTGTGCGTAAAGTTCGCCTGTAGCCTGTTGCCGTGTATGGCTCGTTGTTTTGGACTTTACTAAAGACGCTGTTCGAAACCTCTGTGTGTCCTGCGCCTGATTCTACACCACCCCTACACTCAACCCTGACACTTAATTTGATGTTGCATAACTTTGTAAAAAATATATATATGTTAAGGATAAAACATTTTGTTGTGTTATTTGTAAACTCAGGTTCCCTTGATTTAATATTATGTTTTGGTTGAAGATCTGATAACATTCAGTATCAAACATATGCAAAAATAGAGAAAATCAGAAAGGGTGCAAATACTTTTTCAGGGTACTGTAAACTGCTCAAACATGGTAATAAGTAATTCAAACAACTTAGTATCTCGTTTGAACGACTTAGTAAAAATACAAATGTTCTACTAAGTCATTCAAACGAGATACTAAGTCATTTGAACAAGATAATTCCAAGAGTACATTTATTTTCTTTTTGGCCTTGGGCTTTGTTATTTTTCATATGAAAAGATAATTGCTTGACTGTATGGGAAGTACAGAAGCGCTAATCTATGATACTATATCATAATGTGTCTAATTATCATAAAAGTAGCACATATAGCAGTCATGTTCACCAGTGAGTAATACACTGAATCAATGATACAGCTAGTAACTGAGCTACTTACTAAATTGCTAAATGACCAATAAATGATATTTTATTTGATCTAATCTTTGTCCCACACTCTATTATCTTCTCTAGACCAACACAGCAAAGTAATTTTTTTCTCTCTTTCTCTCCTCTATCTCCACCAGACCAGCTCAGTAATGTTTGTCCCCTCTCTCCTCTGTCTCCTCTAGACCAGTTCAGTAAAGTTCCACACCAAGGCTCTGTCAGTGTTCCACCAGATCAATGCTTATGAGGAGGACGGCTTCCTGATGCTGGACATTTGTTGCTCTGACAGCGGAGAAGCCATCAACAACTACCTCATCCAGAACCTACGCAAGTCAGGGGAGGCTCTCGATCAGGTCAGCATGGAAATACAGTGCCTTCAGAAAGTATTCACACCCCTTTACTTTTTCCACATTTTGTTGTGTTACAGCCTGAATTTAAAATGTATTAAATTGAGATGCTTTGTCACAAAATATTCCAAAACATGCATCCTGTTTGCAACAAGGTACTAAAGTAATACTGCTAAAAATCTGGCTAAGCAATTAACTTTTTGTCATGAATATAAGGTGTTATGTTTGGGCAAATCCAATAAAACACATTACTGAGTACCACTCTCCATATTTTCAAGCATAGTGGTGGCTGCATCATGTTATGGGTATGCTTGTAATCATTAAGGACTGGGGAGGTTTTTTTGCACAGGCAAAATCCTAGAGGAAAACCTGGTTCAGTGTGCTTTCCAACAGACACCGGGAGATGAATTCACCTTTCAGCAGGACAATAATCTAAAACACAAAGCCAAATCTACACTGGAGTTGCTTACCAAGAAGACAGTGAATGTTCCTGAGTGGCCAAGTTACAGTTTTGAATTAAATCTGCTTGAAAATCTATGGCAAGACCTGAAAATGGTTGTCTAGCAATGATCAACAACCAATTTGACAGAGCTTGAAGAATGTTGAACAGAATAATGGGGAAATGTTGCACAATCTAGTTGTGGAAAGCTCTTAAAGACTTACCCAGAAAGACTCACAGCTTTAATTGCTGCCAAAGGTGCTTCTACAAAGTATTGACTCAGGGGTGTGAATACTTGTGTAAATTAGATATTTCTGTATTTAATGTTCAATACATTAGCAAAACATTTAAAAAACTTATTTACTTTGTCAATATGGGGTATTGTGTGTAGATGGGTGAGAGAAAAATAATATATAATCAATTTTAAATTCAGACTGTAACACAACAAACTGTGGATTAAGTCAATTAGTGTGAATACTTTCTAAAGGCACACACACAAGTAAACACACACAAACACACACATGCACGAACACATTCAATCTTAGAAAAAAGGGTTCCAAAAGGATTCTTCAGCTGTCACCATAGGAGAACCCTTTTTGGTTTCTATATGGAACCGAAAAGGGTTCTACCTGGAACCAAAAGGGTTTTACCTGGAACCAAAACTACAGTATACTGAACAAAAATATACACTCAACATGCAACAATTTCAAAGAGTTTACTGAGTTACAGTTCATATAAGGAAATCAGTCAATTGAAATGAATAAATTAGACCCTAATCAATGGATTTCACATGACTGGGAATACAGATATTCATCTGTTGGTCACAGATACCTTTAAAAAAAGGTAGGGGCGTGGATCAGAAAACCAGTCAGTATCTGGTGTGACCACCATTTGCCTCATGCAGCACGATACATCTCCTTCGTATAGAGTTGATCAGGCTCTTGATTGTGGCCTGTGGAATGTTGTCCCACTCCTCTTCAATGGCTTTGTAAAGTTGCTGGATATTGGTGGGAACTGGAACATGCTGTCATACATGTCGATACAGAGCATCCCAAACATGCTCAATGGGTGACAAGTCTGGTGAGTATGCAGGCCATGTAAGAACTGGGACATTTTCAGCTTCCAGGAATTTTGTAGTGATCCTTGCGACAATGGGCTGTGTATTATCATGCTGAAACATGAGGTGATGGCGGTGGATGAATGGCACGACAATGAGCCACAGGATCTCGTCACGGTTTCTCTGTGCATTAAAATTTCCATCGATAAATTGCAATTGTATTTGCTGTCCGTAGCTTATGCCTGCTCATACCATAACACCACAGCCACCATGGGGCACTGTGTTCACAACGTTGACATCAGCAATCCGCTCGCCCACACGACGCCATACACAGGGTCTGCGGTTGTGAGGCCGGTTGGACGTACTAAAGTTCACTAAAACGACATTGGAGGCGGCTTATGGTAGAGAAATTAACATTAAATTATCTGGCAACAGCACTCTTGGACATTCCTGCAGACAGCATGCCAATTGAATGCTCCCTCAAAACTTGAGACATCTGTGGCATTGTGTTGTGTGACAGAACTTCACATTTTAGAGTGGCCTTTTATTGTCCCAAGCACAAGTTGCATCTGTGTAATGATCATGCTGTTTAATCAGCTTTTTGATATGCCACACCTGTCAGGTGGATAGATTATCTTGGCAAAGGAAATTGACAATTTATGGGATCTTTTATTTCAGCTCATGAAACATGGGATGAACACTGTTGCGTTTATATTTTTGTTCGGTGTTGTTCTTCAAAGGGTTCTCCTATGGGGACAGCCAAATAACCCTTTTAGGTTCTAGATAGCACGAAACGCACGCACGCACGTAGACACACACACACACACTAACACACACCGACACACACACATACACACAAACAACACACAGAAATCTAAACACACTCAAACTCAAAACACACCCATTGATACCACACATATTTATGCTGTGACATTGTGATGATGTGATGTTCACGTGCGCTGTATTTGTTCCTCAGGTGTACAACAACATGTACAGAGCGTTCCCCCGGCGCTTTGTTCTGCCCCTCAATGTGACCAACGACACACCGACAGGTGTGAACCTCAACACACGTCCCGCCAGCTCTGCCACTTCTTTCAAAACAGCCAATGATAAGGTATACTGAAAATTAGCAAGTTTCTGTTATCTATGTGTTGATGTTAGTGATATTTTGGTATGTTGGAAATTTGCATATTTCTGTTGTCTGTATGTGTTGTTGTTAGTGATAGTTTGGTATTTTAGAAATGTGCATGTTTCTGTAATCTGATTGTGTCCTTGTATTTCTGCGATCTTTTGTGTGTGTGAGAAAGATATGGCCAGGGGGGATGAGTGTACTGAACTGTCAAAGTATTTTGTTAGCTATTCTGGCGAGTCTGCAACTGGGGGATTGCCAGTTCAAATCCTTGTCCAACTGGAAAGATCTGTCGGGAAGTGAGCTGGCAACCGGAGGGATGCTGGTATCTAATCCTACAGTAGATGCCATTGCCTTGAGCAAGGCACTTAACCCCCCCAAAACAACAGCTCCCCGCGTGCCCAGTGTGGCAGGCCCCTGCACCACTCCAAAACCTGTATATGTACTGTAAGTATGTATGTATCTGTGTCTTTCGGAGGAGTTGGGTTAAAAGCGGAAGTCAAATTTCGGTTGGACCTTGTGTGCAATTGACCAATAAGTGATCTTTGTCTTTCCAACACCCTTTGTTCATGTGTTAGAAAGATCGAGGTGGGGTGGAATTACTGTACTTAACTGTCAACGTCTTTTATTTTTCTTATTTTTGTACATGTTTTCGACCTTCTCAAGTGTGACAAGTGTTTGTGGAGAGTTCCAGTGCACTTGTTATCTTACTGTGGTGAATGAAGTACAACCTACCTACATGCTCTGGAACTTTTCCCCTGCCAAGTCTGGTTGTTGACGACAGTTTTTTGCAACATGATAGTTGTTCCCAACATTACAGTTGTGTGTTTGGACTTATTCCAAGTACTATAGCTCTATAACATATCTGACCTACAGACAAACAAATAAATAAATAAATATATGACAAATCATGCCAAGTCAGTAATGTGACAAGACTGTATGCAGTATGGAGGAAGGTTGAATATTTTCCTGGTATTTTACAAATGTTCCATCGCGAGAATAAACCCCGTATTTCCCACCCAAACCGGAACTGTCATTCAAAAGCATTATAAAGCATATACAGTGCCTTGCAAAAGTATTCATCCCCCTTGGCGTATTTCCTATTTTGTTGCTTTACAACCTGTAATTTACATTTATTTTATTTGGATTTCTTGTAATGGACATACACAAAATAGTCCAAATTGGTGAAGTGAAATGAAAAAAAATTACTTAAAGGAAAAGTGGTGCGTGCATATGTATTCACCCCCTTTGCTATGAAGCCCCTAAATAAGATCTGGTGCAATTAATTACCTTCAGAAGTCACATAATTAGTTAAATAAAGTCCACCTGTGTGCAATCTAAGTGTCACATGATCTAAGTATATATACACCTGTTCTGAAAGGCCCCAGAGTCTGCAACACCACTAAGCAAGGGGCACCACCAAGTAAGCAGCACCATGAAGACCAAGGAGCTCTCCAAACGTGTCAGGGACAAAGTTGTGGAGAAGTACAGATCAGGGTTGGGTTATAAAAAATATCTGAAACTTTGAACATCCCACGGAGCACCATTAAATCAATTATTACAAAATGGAAAGAATATGGCACCACAACAAACCTGCCAAGAGAGGGCTGCCCACAAAAACTCATGGACCAGGCAAGGAGGGCATTAATCAGAGAGGCAACAAAGAGACCAAAGATAACCCTGAAGGAGCTGCAAAGCTCCACAGCGGAGATTGGAGTATCTGTCCATAGGACCACTTTAAGCCGTACACTCCACAGAGCTGGGCTTTACGGAAGAGTGGCCAGAAAAAAGCCATTGCTTAAAGAAAAAAAAAAGCAAACCCGTTTGGTGTTTGCCAAAAGCCATGTGGGAGACTCCCCAAACATATGGAAGAAGGTACTCTGGTCAGATAAGACTAAAATTGAGCTTTTCGGCCATCAAGGAAAACACTATGTCTGGCGCAAACCCAACACCTCTCATCACCCCGAGAACACCATCTCCACAGTGAAGCATGGTGATGGCAGCATCATGCTGTGGGGATGTTTTTCCATCGGCAGGGACTGGGAAACTGGTCAGAATTGAAGGAATGATGGATGGTGCTAAATACAGGGAAATTCTTGAGGGAAACCTGTTTCAGTCTTCCAGAGATTTGAGACTGGGATGGAGGTTCACCTTCAAGCAGGACAATGACCCTAAGCACATTGCTAAAGCAACACTTGAGTGGTTTGAGGGGAAACGTTTAAATGTCTTGGAATGGCTAGTCAAAACCCAGACCTCAATCCAATTGAGAATCTGTGGTATGACTTAAAGATTGGTGTACACCAGTGGAACCCATCCAACTTGAAGGAGCTGGAGCAGTTTTGCCTTGAATGGGCAAAAATCTCAGTGGCTAGATGTGCCAAGCTTATAGAGACATACCCCAAGAGACTTGCAGCTGTAATTGCTGCAAAAGGTAGGTCTACAAAGTATTGACTTTGGGGGGGGGGGGGGGGGTGAATAGTTATGCACGCTCAAGTTCTTTTTTTTGGTGTTATTTCTTGTTTGTTTCACGATAAAAAAATATTTTGCATCTTCAAAGTGGTAGGCATGTTGTGTAAATCAAATGATACAAACCCCCCCCAAAAATCATTTTAATTCCAGGTTGTAAGGCAACAAAATAGGAAAAAAGTGGCTTGCAAAAGGGGGGTAAATACTTTTGCAAGCCACTGTAAATATGTCTGGATTTGATTAGCTTTGATCAGCATGAAAATTCAAACCTGATGCTACCTGAGCCTGATGAGACTTATATTAAATACATTTTATGAGCCCTACATTAAAGGCATTTAATGAGCCCAAGCCCAAAAAAGCCCAGATGATTGTGACATTAGCCAATACATATATGATATAGGCTACTGCACATTATGCAAGACAGAAAAACATAAAATACCATATATGTAGCTAGCTATATGCTCTCTTGGGTAAATAAATAAATGAAATTAGCTCCAGCAGGCTAATCTTTTTGACTGTGAACTATATTACTGTACTTTATTGCATTATATCCTACTGTATTATGTGGACTGGAATTACACACCTTGTTCAAACCATGATAAAGCAGAAGAGAACATGCGATTCTGTTGCAGCACATTTACTTAAGTGTTTCCTTTAATTTGGCAGTTACCATTACAGTACATGTGGACTTCTGTGGGAACCGTAAATAGCCACTCAATCACTGATGAAGGAGCTTGTGTTGAAAAGTTTCAGCTTTCTTTGAATCATTGAAGGAAATTAAGTTGCCGGTTTTTACCTTTTATTAACTATTGTTCAGCCATTAATCAGTTTGGTCTTTTTGTGTCCTGGTCAGGTGGTGTGCCAGTTTGAGGATCTCCATGGAGAGGACCTTTATGAGTACGGAGGTCTGGAGTTCCCCCAGATCAACTACAGCAAGTTCAACACGCGGCCCTATCGCTACTTCTACGGATGTGGCTTCAGGCACCTAGTGGGAGACTCACTCCTCAAGATCGACCTGGAGGAAAAGAAAGTCAAGGTGAGTTTTGTAACAATAGTATTCTTATGTGTGCTTCTCTCTTGATGCTACTCTGTCACAGAGTGCTTTACTGCTGTCATACACACAGAGAGCTTTGCTGTACCCAAGTCATGGCAAGGATAATCTCAGCACCCAGAACCAAATCTCACATGCAATTGTTAAGTCTATCATCAAATCAAATCAAATTTTATTGGTCACATACACGTGTTTAGCAGATGTTATTGCATGTGTAGCGAAATGCTTGTGCTTCTAGCTCCGACAGTGCAGTAATATCTAACAAGTAATATCTAACGATTTCACAACATATACCCAATACACACAAATCTAATATCGAATATATACATATATATGGACAAGCGATGTCAGAGCGGCATGGACTAAAATACAGTAGAATAGTATAGAATACAGTATATCCATATGAGATGAGTAATGCAAGATATGTATAATAATATGATATTTAGCAGACGCTTTTATCCAAAGCGACTTACAGTCATGTGTGCATACATTTTTACGTATGGGTGGTCCTGGGGATCGAACCCACTACCCTGGCGTTACAAGCGCCATGCTCTATCAATTGAGCTACAGAGGACCACCCTGTAGCTCAGTGGCTAGTGTTCCATTTCTTAAAGTGGCCAGTGATTTCTAGTCTATGTCTACAGGCAGCAGCCTCTAATGTGCTAGTGATGGCTGTTTAACGGTCTGATGGCTTTGAGATAGAAGCTGTTTTTCAGTCTCTCGTCCCAGCTTTAATGCACCTGTACTGACCTCGCCTTCTGGATGATAGCAGGGTGAACAGGCAGTAGCTTGGGTGGTTGATATCCTTGATGATCTTTTTGGCCTTCCTGTGACATCGGGTTCTGTAGGTGTCCTGGAGGGCAGTGTAGTTTAACCCCGGGAATGCTTTGGGCAGACCGCACCACCCTCTGGAGAGCCATGCGGTTGCGGGCGGTGCAGTTGCTGTACCAGGCGGTGATACAGCCCGACAGGATGCTCTCAATTGTGCATCTGTAAAAGTTTGTGAGGGTTTTAGGTGCCAAGCCAAATTTCTTTAGCCTCCTGAGGTTGAAGAGGCTCTGATACGCCTTCTTCACCACACTGTCTGTGTGGGTGGTCCATTTCAGTTTGTCAGTGATGTGTACGCCAAGGAACTTGAAGCTTTCCACCTTCTCCACTGCAGTCCCGTCGAGGTGGATAGGTGGGTGCACCCTCTGCTGTTTCCTGAAGTCCACGATCATCTCCTTTGTTTTGTTGACGTTGAGTGAGAGGTTATTTTCCTGGCACCACACTCCCAGAGCCCTCACCTCCTCCCTGTAGGCTGTCTCGTCATTGTTGGTAATCAAGCCTACTACTGTTGTGTCATCTGCAAACTTGATGATTGAGTTGAAGGCGTGATTGTGATTTTTCTCTATACTGACGTGACTGGGGCCACGCAGTCATGGGTGAACTGGGAGTATAGGAGTGGGCTGAGCACGCAACCTTGTGGGGCCCCAGTGTTGAAGATCAGCGAAGTGGAGGTGTTCACCACCTGGGGGTGGCCCGTCAGGAAATCCAGGACCCAGTTGCACAGGGCTGCGTTCAGACCCAGGGCCTCGAGCTTAATTATGAGCTTGGAGGGTACTATGGTATTGAATGCTGAGCTATAGTCAATTAACAGCATTCTTACATATGTATTGCTCTTGTCCTGATGGGATTGGGCAGTGTGCAGCGTGATGGCGATTGCATCGTCTGTGGATCTATTGGGGCGGTAAGCAAATTGAAGTGGGTCTAGGGTGGCAGGTAAGGTAGAGATGATATGATCCTTGTCTAGTCTCTCAAAGCACTTCGTGATGACAGAGGTGAATGCTATGGGGCGATAGTTGTTTAGTTCATTTACATTTGCTTTCTTGGGTACAGGAACGATGGTGGACATCTTGAAGCATGTGGGGACAGCAGACTGGGATAGGGAGAGATTGAATTTGTCGGTAAACATACCAGCTAGCTGGTCTGTGCATGTCTGAGGACGCAGCTAGGTATGCCGTCTGGGCCAGCAGCCTTGCGAGGGTTAACACGTTTAAATGTTTTACTCACGTCGGCCACGGAGAAGGAGAGCCCACAGTCCTTGGTAGCGGGCAGCGTCGGTGGCACTGTATTATCCTCAAAGCGGGCGAATAATGTGTATAGCTTGTCCGGAAGTAAGACGTCGGTCTCGGCGACGTGGCTGGTTTTCCTTTTGTAGTCCGTGATTGTCTGTAGACCCTGCCACATAGGTCTCTTGTCTGAGCCTTTGAATTGTGACGCCACTTTTTCTCTATACTGACGTTTTGCATGTTTGATTGCCTTGTAGAGTGAATAACTACACTGTTTTTATTCTGCCATATTCCTAGTTAACTTGCCATGGTTAAATGCGGTGGTTCGCTGCCATCTATCCACGGTTTCTTGTTAGGGTAGGTTTTAATAGTCACAGTGGGTACGACATCTCCTATACACTTCCTGATCAACTCTGTTACCGTATCAGTGTATTCGTCTAAATTATTTTCGCAAGCTACCCGGAACATATCCCATTCCGCGTGATCAAAACAATGCTGAAGCGTGGATTCCGATTGGTCAGACCAGCGTTGGATAGTCCTTAGCACAGGTACTTTCTGTTTGAGTTTCTACCTATAGGAAGGGAGAAGCAAAATGGAGTCGTGTTCAGATTTGCCAAAAGGAGGGCCGGGGAGGGCCTTGGAAGCATCCCGGAACAATTTGCCGCAAGCTCATACAGTGGGGAGAACAAGTATTTGATACAATCTCGATTTTGAAGGTTTTCCAACTTACAAAGCATGTAGAGGTCTATAATTTTTATCATAGGTACACTTCAACTGTGAGAGACGGAATCTAAAACAAAAATCCAGAAAATCACATTGTATGATTTTTAAGTAATTAATTTGCATTTTATTGCATGACATAAGTATTTGATCATCTACCAACCAGTAAGAATTCCGGCTCTTACAAACCTGTTAGTTTTTCTTTAAGAAGCCCTCCCGTTCTCCACTCATTACCTGTATTAACTGCACCTGTTTGAACTCGTTACCTGTATAAAAGACACCTGTCCACACACTCAATCAAACAGACTCCAACCTCTCCACAATGGCCAAGACCAGAGAGCTGTGTAAGGACATCAGGGATAAAATTGTAGACCTGCACAAGGCTGGGATGGGCTACAGGACAATAGGCAAGCAGCTTGGTGAGAAGGCAACAACTGTTGGAGCAATTATTAGAAAATGGAAGAAGTTCAAGATGACGGTCAATCACCCTCGGTCTGGGGCTCCATGCAAGATCTCACCTCGTGGGGCATCAATGATCATGAGGAAGGTGAGGGATCAGCCCAGAACTACACGGCAGGACCTGGTCAATGACCTGAAGAGAGCTGGGACCACAGTCTCAAAGAAAACCATTAGTAACACACTACGCCGTCATGGATTAAAATCCTGCAGCGCACGCAAGGTCCCCCTGCTCAAGCCAGCGCATGTCCAGGCCCGTCTGAAGTGTGCCAAGGACCATCTGAATGATCCAGAGGAGGAATGGGAGAAGGTCATGGGGTCTGATGAGACATAAATAGAGCTTTTTGGTCTTAACTCCACTCGCCGTGTTTGGAGGAAGAAGAAGGATGAGTACAACCCCAAGAACACCATCCCAACCATGAAGCATGGAGGTGGAAACATCGTTCTTTGGGGATGCTTTTCTGCAAAGGGGACAGGACGACTGCACTGTATTGAGGGGAGGATGGATGGGGACATGTATCGCGAGATCTTGGCCAACAACCTCCTTCCCTCAGTAAGAGCATTGAAGATGGGTCGTGGCTGGGTCTTCGAGCATGACAACGACCCGAAACACACAGCCAGGGCAACTAAGGAGTGGCTCCGTAAGAAGCATCTCAAGGTCCTGGAGTGGCCTAGCCAGTCTCCAGACCTGAACCCAATAGAACATCTTTGGAGGGAGCTGAAAGTCCGTATTTCCCAGCGACAGCCCCGAAACCTGAAGGATCTGGAGAAGGTCTGTATGGAGGAGTGGGCCAAAATCCCTGCTGCAGTGTGTGCAAACCTGGTCAAGACCTACAGGAAACGTATGATCTCTGTAATTGCAAACAAAGGTTTCTGTACCAAATATTAAGTTCTGCTTTTCTGATGTATCAAATACTTATGTCATGCAATAAAATGCTAATTAATTACTTAAACATCATACAATGTGATTTTCTGGATTTTTTAGATTCCGTCTCTCACATTTGAAGTGTACCTATGATAAAAATTACAGACCTCTACATGCTTTGTAAGTAGGGAAACCTGCAAAATCGGCAGTGTATCAAATACTTGTTCTCCCCACTGTATTTTCACATCCACATTCTGTTTGTTGCAAACCCAGTATGAATATGCAAATTAGATCAGGTTTTTGGTTACTGTGTGTTAACACCATTGAAATGTTGTATCTCCACTACCGGTCAAAAGTTTTAGAACACCTACTTAAGGGGTTTTCTTTATTTGTACTATTTTCTACATTGTAGAATAATAGTAAAGACATCAAAACTATTAAATAACACATATGGAATCATGTAGTTGTATCGAAGTGGCGTGAAGTGTCTCCCAGTAATGCACGTTGAAACTGAAAATGTAAAAAAAAAATTGTTTGTGTGGAATTCAAATGTATTCAAAATTATTTTGAAAGTCGATGTTTGCTTACAATTTTTTTTATTTGGTCAAACAAGTTATTTTCACTCTCGGTTCTTGTCCTTGCGATGACCATTTTTTCAAGTCATCTTTTCTCTCCACCAAGTTTTGGTACTCTATTGATGTGGGGTTAGGGGGAATGGGCGTGTCCAATAAGCCACCGCCTTGGAGTTACAGCATAACCTATTGCCTCGGGCTAATCGGTGATCGCGATTGGGCCTCATTGGTGACATGGGAGACCGGAGAAAATGCTCGCTTGGGGGTTGTGTTGTGGCGTGCAAGATTTGAGTTTTGTTTGAATGACTTCATGTCTGGAGAATTCAGAGTGCGGAGTCCGAACTGGGTGAATGAGTTGTTGGTGCGTGAGAAGTGTTGAAGTTGACAGCCGAAATTGCGGCGAGTAGTGCGGATGAAATGGAGAAAAGGTTGGAGAAGCAACAGCTGTGCTGGAATACAAACAGCATGGGTGTCAGTTCTGGTGATATGGAGCGGGAGGCTCAGGTTCAAGGACCGGAATGGTCTGTAGTGGAAAGACATAGGAAGAAGAGAGATCATAATACTGAAAGCGGGGGAGCATCTAGTAAAGAAAGCATGAAGAAGGTTGGTGTTTGATGAGACCACAGGGCCTCATTTACACCCTATCCGACTAACCAATGCTATAGAGAAAGAGATAGGTGAAGTCAAATTAGCCAGGTTCATTGGAAATGGTAGATTATTCATATTTTGTGGTAGCCGGGCTAAGCAAAGGAAGATTCTGCAAATGGAAAAGCTTAATGGAAAGAAGATTAAAAGCCATGTCCCTGGTGCTTATGCTATGTTGAGGGGAGTCATCACTGGGGTCTCAATATCTATACTGAACAAAAATATAAACACAACATGCAACAATTTCAATTGTTTTACTGAGTTACAGTTCATATAAGGAAATCAGCCAATTGAAATAAATTCATTAAGCCCTAATCTATGAATTTCACATGACAGGGGCACAGCCATAGGTGGGCCTGGCAGGGCATAGGCCCACCCACTGGAGAGCCAGGCCCACCCACTGGGGAGCCAGGCCCAAACAATCAGAATGAGTTTTTCCCCACAAAAGGGCTTTATTCCAGACAGAAATACTCCTCAGTTTCATCAGCTGTCTGGGTGGCTGGTCTCAGATGATCCCGCAGGTGAAGAAGCTGGATGTGGAGGTCCTGGTCTGGCTTGGTTTCATGTGGTCTGCGGTTGTGAGGTCGGTTTCTCTAATTCTCTAAAATGACATTGGAGGTGGCTTATGGTAGAGAAATGAACATTATATTTTCTGGCAACAGCTCAGGTGGACATTCCTGCACTCAGCATACCAATTGCACGCTCCCTCAAAACTTGAGACATCTGTGGCATTGTGTTGTGTGACAAAACTGCACATTTTAGAGTGGCCTTTTATTGCCCCCAGCACAAAGTGCACCTGTGTAGTGATCATGCTGTTTAATCAGCTTCTTGATATGCCAGACCTGTCAGGTGGATGGATTATCTTGGCAAAATATGAAATACTCACTAACAAGGATGTAAACAAAGTTGTGCACAAAATCTGAGAGAAATAAGCGTTTTGTGCATATGGAACATTACTGAGATCTTTTATTTCAGCTCATGAAACATGGGACCATCACTTTACATGTTGCGTTTATATTTTTGTTAAGTATATGTTCTACTTCACACAGAGTAGGCTCAAAGAAACCAACCCATGCAATATCATTGCAACATGTAAAAAAAGAAGTGTATATGAATATAAAATAATCCAGCCATGATATATATATATATTTTTTTAATGCTTTACAAAACAATGTGTCAATGCCCACTATATGCACATTAATAATCTCATCTTGGAGAGTAATATCCTTTATGACCATTCATGAGAAGATCATTGTCAGGAGATGAAACATTTTCAAATGAATAGAAGGCAGTCACATTTCCATTGAGTTACTGCATTGGAACACTGCATTGACATGGAACAGTAATACTTTCTTCAGTCTGTGAGTTTTAGACTCCATAACTCCAGGAGTAAAGGTGGCCAACAATTCCAAGATAAGGTCAGCCTCAGGACATAAGGGTACTATGTAACCGTTAGACAAGAAATACATGGGCTTGTACAAAGAATGATGGAAGCATTACTTGAGAATGAATAACAGCATTCAAGTCGAACTGTGACCATTTGAATTACTAATGTAAAATGTTCTAATGAAGAGAAGGCAAAGAGCCTTCCCATTTCCCATGAATTCAACACATTATATAGGCACGGAAAGATAATACTCTCTTCAGGCTGTGAGGTTTAGACCAGGTAATTCCAGGGCCTGTATTCAGAAACGTCTCAGAGTAGGAGTGCTGATCTAGGATCAGTTTTGCCTTTCATATCATAATGGATAAGATTATATGGACAGGGGGTCCTCGATCAGCACTCCCACTCTGACGCTTTCTGGCTATTTGAGACTAGAGGGCCATGTGAAAATATGGTGTAACGGTGGCCAACATTACCAACATCACTTCAACCTCAGGACATGAAAGCAGTGTGTAGCCTCTCGTGAAATGAACAGACTTGTACAAAGAACACCATAGGTTACTAGTGTCTCATAATACAACTCATTTAACCCCTGCTGAGGTCCTGGACCTCACATTTCAAACAACACTGTGATAACCCCTAACCATCTTTATTGCTCTGAATTCATCATAGGTATACATATGTACTGCAGGAAATGTGATGGTATTAGTACATGCACTAACAAGGGGGTAACAGACGTGATGCACTGGCATCCGTTCTTTGCATCCATGATCGAATTTGATAACAATTTTGAAATGTTGTTGTTCGGAAATAAGAGGCTTTTGCCCTTGGCCAGTAATGCACTGCATTACTTTTGGGACAGACTGTTGGAAGGCCTCTTCTTTCTTGTCTTCTGGTTTTTCTTCTTGGTCCAGACATGCGTATTCTTCCCATTTATCTTGTTCCTGCTTTTCCTCTTGTACTTGGTCCTCAGCATTCTCTTCCTCTGAATCAGATACATAATCCAACAGTCAGACACAACTCAAGTCCACATCCCATGACATGTGATAGGGAAGGCAGAGCTCTGTCCTACCTATGGATGTCACTCTTCATCTGCCGCCTTTTGGCGGTTCAGTTTGTTTTACTGCTAGTTAAAAGTAAGCTGATCAGGATGGCTAACATATAGCATCTGAAACAGTTAAAAGTTGGATTTTCTAGCGAAACGGGGTGATAAGGAATGGAAGACCAGCATCTGAGCTTAGGGACCTACATCAAAGGAATGGACAGAAAATAACATGATCATTTCAATCTGAGTGGTATCTACGGAAAGACTGGCTCTGTGGACAAGTCAACAGAATCCGTTGAGAGGATATTTTCTGCGCTGAAACGGATACTGATCACGGTCGACTCTCATCCCTTTTGAAGGCCCTGGGATCAATTCCCCCCCCCCCCCCAACTCAGTCGGGATCTCAACTTTTGATTTTGTTAGTCAATCTCACTCAGATATCATTAAAAACTGCAAACATTTCTCAGTCAGGGTCTCGACTTGTTGTGAGTTAGAATAGTAGAATACACAAGGTGCAATTTCGATATTTGCTTGTGTATCAGCAGTTTCTCTTATGTCAGTCAATGATAGTCAGTCAATTAGCCCATGTACGCAAAACATTTTTTTCATTGATACATTTGTTTAGAGGCCAGCTATCTAAACTTGTTATCATGGTCGAATTTGATTTTGTTAGTCAGTCTCATTCAGATATCATATTAAAAACTGCAAACATTTCTCTCCACCCTATGGTCCTGCGTAGCTCAGTTGGTAGACCATGGAGCTTGCAACGCCAGGGTTGTGGGTTCAATTCCCACGGGAGACCAGTATGGAAGTCACTCTGGATAAGAGTGTCTGCTAAATGACAAACATTTTAAAAGAATGTGTTAAATTGCAGGAATTATGCTGTGAAACAGCTAATTATTTTCTCTGCCCCATGGCAAAATGTGTACAATTGCACGAAATTAACTCTAAAACATTTTTTTTTTCAAGAAGCTAATTAAACAGCATGATCATTACACAGGTGCACCTTGTGCTGGGAACAATAAAAGGCCACTCTAAAATGTGCAGTTTTGTCACACAACACAATGCCACAGATGTCTCAAGTTTTGAGGGTGCTGAGGAGTATTTTTGTCTCTAATAAAGCTCTTTTTTTTGTGGGGAAAACTCATTCTGATTGGCTGTACCTGGCTACCAAGTGGTGGGCCTATGTCCTCCCAGGCCCAACCTTGGCTGCGCCCCTGCCCAGTCTTGTGAAATCCATAGATTAGGGCCTAATGAATTCATTTGAATTGACTGATTTCGTTCTATGAACTGGAACTGAGTAAAATCTTTTAAATTGTTAGGTGTTGCGTTTTATATTTTTGTTCAGTATAATTGCAAGTATAAACAGATTAAACGTGCTCAAATCAGAGTCTCCAACACCAGTCAACATTTATTTATTTAAAGCACCGGTGCCAATTCCTGCTTTACCGATAAAGGACACCTCAAGTTTGTTAATGGGGGACCCTTTATTCTGCCTCTGCCACTGTGTTAGACCTCTTTGGACAATGTTGGCCCTGGTGATGCAGATCTTAAAATTTTGGTGTGCTTCCACCTTACCAGCTAGCCACCGGAGCACATCATCATCAATGTCTACAACACAAATCCTGTAGCCATGAAGTGCTTTGAAAGGCTGGTCATGGCTCACATCAACACCATTATCCCAGAAATCCTAGACCCACTCCAATTTGCATACCGCCCCAACCAGAGCATATGAGCGGAGTGGAGCGTGAGCGAGCGTGGAGCGTGAGCGGACGGATTTTGAACAGAGCGCAGAGCGGCATTTTTAAAAGGACGGAGCGTCGCCCTATTTCCCGCTCCAATTTCGCTCGCTGACACCACGAGTCTGAAGCATGCTCAAGCCTGACCCAGAATCCATCTGTTTAATTTAATTTGTGTCGTCCATGAATTTGTATTTTATAGAGCGAGAGGAGCAGCAGCAGCAACAAGAGAAAAGGGTTGAAGAATTCAAAAGTGTATTCACTGCACGCAAAGGCCCAACCATAACAAGGGAGAGAAAAAGAGAGCTGGATGTAGCATTTTTTGAATTGATTTTCATGGACTATGACCCGCTGAGTAAAGGAGAACGCGAAGGGATGCAACACTTCGCCAGCGCAGCTCAACCGGGCTACACCCCCCCAAGAAACTATGATAAATCAGTACTTTACTTTGTCAAATTTACATCTGAGATGCCCCATTCACATGCTTCAGCTGGCGATCAAAAACGCCGTTAACAAGCACGACAACATAAATAGGCTGTTAGTGAAAGTCGGGCACCTGGTGAAAAGTGTACGCAAGAGCACAGAGGAAACCGACCAATTAGGTGTCCGCCCCACAAATGCCTGTGCCATTCGATGGAGCATCCAGCTGCGGTTGATTCAGTCGTTCATCCGGTTGTTCCAAAAAGACCCGTTATGGTAAAACAAAACTTAAGTCTAATGTTGCTAACATCACCCTGAATCAAGTACGGCAGCTGACGCACCTTGTCAGTGTGCTGACACCACTAGCAGACCTCACAGACAAAATGCAGAAGGAGCTGGGGAACCTGGGGATGATCCTCCCTGCTGTCACAGAAATCAAATCCCTGCTCACCGATTACACTCACGCTGCACTTCCAATGGGCATCGCTGCTTTTGCAGAAACATTGGCAAACAACGTGTCAATTCGCTATGGAATATACTATACTGATTAACATCTCATTTTAGCGTCAGTGTTAGATCCCCGTTTCAAGACAGAATGGATAATCCGAGATTAGTCTGTATGCAACAAATTCGGGGAGATAAAGTAAGGCTGTGGTTTAAGCTAAAAGTGAAATACATGCAGATTTTGTTCCTTTTTTGGAGTGAGCGGGGGGCGATTTGAGTGGAGCGCGATGCAAACTGCGTTGAGCGCTGAGCGATAATGAGCGGACTGGCCTGATGTGGCTTTGAGCGGGGGGAGCGGAGGGGTGAACAGCTCCGTGAGCGAGGAGCTGAGATTCTCACCGCTCCACTCCGCTCATATGCTCTGGCCCCAACAGATCCACAGATGATGCAATCTCTATTGCATTCCACACTGCCCTTTCCCACCTGGACAAGAGGAACACCTACGTGAGAATGCTATTCATTGACTACAGCTCAGCATTCAACACCATAGTGCCCTCAAAGCTCATCACTAAGTTAAGGACCCTGGGACTAAACACCTCCCTCTGCAACTGGATCCTGGACTTCCTGACGGGCCGCCCCCCAGGTGGTAAGGGTAGGAAACAACACATCTGCCACGCTGATCCTCAACACGCGGGCCCCTCAGGAGATGATTGTGGACTACAGGAAAAAAATGGGGACTGAGCACACCCCCATTCTCATCGACGGGGCTGTAGTGGAACAGGTTGAGAGCTTCAAGTTCCATGGTGTCCACATCACCAACGAACTATCATGGTCCAAACACACCAAGACAGTCGTGAAGAGGGCATGACAAAGCCTATTCCCCTCAGGAGACTGAAAAGATTTGGCATGGGTCCTCAGATCCTCAAAAAGTTATACAGCTGCACCATCGAGAGCATCCTGACTGGTTGCATCACCGTCTGGTATGGCAACTGCTCAGCCTCCGACCGCAAGGCTCTACAGAGGGTAGTGCGTACGGCCCAGTACATCACTGGGGCCAAGCTTCCTGCCATCCAGGACCTCTATACCAGGTGGTGTCAGAGGAAGTCCCTAAAAATTGTCAAAGACTCTAGCCACCCTATTCATAGACTGTTCTCTCTGCTACCGCATGGCAAGAGGTACCGGAGCGCCAAGTCTAGGCACAAAAGGCTTCTTACCAGCTTCTACCCCCAAGCTAAAAGACTCCTGAACAGCTAATCATGGCTAACCTGACTATTTGCACTGGTACTGTATATATATACAGTGAGGGGAAAAAGTATTTGATCCCCTGCTGATTTTGTATGTTTGCCCACTAACAAAGACATGATCAGTCTATAATTTTAATGGTAGGATTATTTGAACAGTGAGAGACAGAATAACAACAACAAAAATCCAGAAAAACGCATGTCAAAAATGCTATAAATTGATTTGCATTTTAATGAGGGAAATAAGTATTTGACCCCCTCTGAATCAGAAAGATTTCTGGCTCCCAGGCGTCTTTTATACAGGTAACGAGCTGAGATTAGGAGCACACTCTTAAAGGGAGTGCTCCTAATCTCATTTTATTACCTGTATAAAATACACCTGTCCACAGAAGCAATCAATCAATCAGATTCCAAACTCTCCACCATGGCCAAGACCAAAGAGCTCTCCAAGGATGTCAGGGACAAGATTGTAGACCTACACAAGGCTGGAATGGGCTACAAGACCATCGCCAAGCAGCTTGGTGGTAAGGTGACAACAGTTGGTGTGATTATTCGCAAATGGAAGAAACACAAAATAACTGTCAATCTCCCTCGGCCTGGGGCTCCATGCAAGATCTCACCTCGTGGAGTTGCAATGATCAAGAAAATGGTGAGGAATCAGCCCAGAACTACTCGGGAGGATCTTGTCAATGATCTCAAGGCAGCTGGGACCATAGTCACCAAGAAAACAATTGGTAACACACTACGCCGTGAAGGACTGAAATCCTGCAGCGCCCGCAAGGTCCCCCTGCTCAAGAAAGCACATATACAGGCCCGTCTGTTTGGAGGAGGAGGAATGCTGCCTATGACCCCAAGAACACCATCCCCACCGTCAAATATGGAGGTGGAAACATTATGCTTTGGGGTTGTTTTTCTGCTAAGGGGACAGGACAACTTCACCGCATCAAAAGGACGATGGACGGGGCCATGTATCGTCATTTCTTGGGTGAGAACCTCGTTCCCTCTGCCAGGGCAATGAAAATGGGTCATGGATGGGTATTCCAGCATGACAATGACCCAAAACACACGGCCAAGGCAACAAAGGAGTGGCTCAAGAAGAAGCACATTAAGGTCCTGGAGTGGCCTAGCCAGTCTCCAGACCTTAATCCCATAGAAAATCAGTGGAGGGAGCTGAAGGTTTGAGTTGCCAAACATCAGCCTCGAAACCTTAATGACTTGGAGAAGATCTGCAAAGAGGAGTGGGACAAAATCTTTCCTGAGATGTATGCAAACCTGGTGGCCAACTACAAGAAACGTCTGACCTCTGTGATTGCCAACAAGGGTTTTGCCACCAAGTACTAAGTCATGTTTTGCAGAGGGGTCAAATACTTATTTCCCTCATTAAAATGCAAATCAATTTATGACATTTTTTACATGCATTTTTCTGGATTTTTTTGTTGTTATTCTGTCCCCCCTACCATTATAATTATAGACTGATCATGTCTTTGGCAGTGGGCAAACGTACAAAATCAGCAGGGGATCAAATACTTTTTTTTCCCCTCACTGTATATATTTTCTTTTAAATATGTATATTTTGTACAAAAGTAAAGTAGTGGGCCCTTTACTTGTCCTGTATTAGTGGACCGATATAGCAGTATGTAGCGCGGGAAAAGTGTGGTTACGAGAGTGAAAGTCCGAAAAAAATCCCAAACAAAACAGACAAAAGGTATTTTGGCAAAAGAAATAACAGATGTGATTGTGCCTTTTGTATTACTGTATGGGAAGACTGAGATTATCGTTACATGTCATAATAAACCTTAAACGCAGACCAAAGAGCCCAACTCCCCCCTACCCCAGGACACTATTTTCTTGGTCTATTGTGGTTTGGAAAGTTAGGAGTATTGAGATTAATAAAATGTGTATTATGTACTTGTTATTCTTTGAAAATAGGCAACTTTTTTTTCTTCCGCTTTACAAAGATTCTTCCATGTTTACCTTTTTGGATCCTCACCAGTTTGCATCCTTGCTGTCTCTCTGTCTCAAGGTGTGGTACCAGAAGGGTTTGTTCCCCTCAGAGCCTGTGTTTGTTCCCTCGCCGGACGCCGTGGAGGAGGACGATGGGGTCATCCTGTCCGTGGTGGTCACGCCCACTAAGGTAAAGGTCATGGGTCATTCTATCGCCCACATGACTAGCTAAATTATAAAATATGATCTTACAGTGTTAAGCTTTCACAAGGTAATTCAGAGAAGCAGATTGTAATTGTGGTGTGCATAGAATGGAGTCATGAGTGTATTCTGATGTGTGGCCCACAGCAAATGTTATTCACAATACAACAAACATAGGCTGTTCTGTTCAGGACAACCCAGAGATAACATCATCTCATCTTGTAACTGTACATCAAAGGTAGTGATCATCAATGTTGACACTATGTATTACTTGAGTTTTATAATATGGAAATGTGAAGTGCACATTTGGACTCAGTTGTTTGGCACATGCTTGTATGACATCAACGCTGTATTTATTATAATCCTCAACATCTCATCTTCCAAAATGCACAGAATCCTTGTAATTTACAGCATTCCCCTCACTCAGACAAGAAAATTAGAGCCCAATCGATTTGGGATTTTAGGGAGGCAAAAGTCGCCAATTACCAATACACCTGCCGATATAAGATTTTTTTAGACATGGAATGCATAACAAAATGTTTTTATTACACAACATCTGCTCCAAATTATGATTTATTAACTAAATATTAAAATGTACATTTAAGAATATTTTATTTGTGGTTTACATGATAACCACTAAAAAGCAACTACAGTGCCTTCAGAAAGTTTTCAGAACCCTTGACCTTTTCCACATTTTGTTGTGTTACAGCCGGAGAGGTTGTGTCATTGGCCTACACACTATACCCCATAATGTTACAGTGAAATTCTGTTTTTAGATTTTCTTTTACAAATTAATAAAACATGAAAATGTCTTGAGTCAATAAGCATTCAACCCCTTTGTGACGGCAAGCCTAAATAAGTTCAGTAGTAAAAATGTGCTTAACAAGTCACATAATACGTTGCATGGTCTCACTTTGTGTGCACTTATAGTGTTTAACGTGCTTTTTGAATGACTACTTAATCTCTGTATCCCACACATAGAATTATCTGTAAGGTCCCTCAGTCGAGCAATGAATTGCAAACACAGATTCACCCACAAAGACCAGGGAGGTTTTCCAAAGCCTCGCAGAGAAGGGCACCTCATAGTAGATGTCACGCTGCTGTGGATTGGTGTGGTGTAGAATCAGGCGCAGGAAGCAGAGGATAAGTCCAACAAGACTTTACTAGAGCACACAAAAATAATCCAAACAGCCCGGAGGCAAAAGGACGCACACAGGCGTAAATAAGCGAGCGCACACACAGTTGCGAAAATACTCTCCTAAACACAAGGAGGAAGCTATGAAAATAGCGTACCGACACGGGTAGCGCAACAACACGACACGAACAATTACACACAACACTAAACTAACAACAAGGAAACTAAATAGGGTGCTAAATGAGACATAACACAAAACAGGTGTGACTAACAGACAAAACCAATCAAACAAGAAACATAGAGCGGTGGCAGCTAGTACTCCAGCTAGCCTCCGGCCTCGGGGACGACCAGGAGGACGCGGAGCAGGGCGCGTAGGATGACCACGATGGAATTCGGTCATCAGGGACGGATCCAGAATGTCCCTCCTCGGCACCCAGCACCGCTCCTCCGGACCGTACCCCTCCCACTCCACGAGATATTGGAGACCTCCCATCCGGCGTCTCGAATCCAGGATGGTCCGAACAGTGTACGCCGGAGCCCCCTCGATGTCCAACGGGGGCGGAGGAGTCTCCTCAATCTCAAAGTCCTGGAGTGGACCAGCTACCACCGGCCTGAGGAGAGACACATGGAACGAGGGGTTAATATTCTTGTAATCAATAGGTAGTTCTAACCTGTAACACACCTCGTTCAATCTCCTCAGGACTTTAAAAGGCCCCACAAACCGCCGACCCAGCTTCCGGCAGGGCAGGCGGAGGGGCAGGTTTCTGGTTGAGAGCCAGACTCGATCTCCAGGTGCGTACACTGGCCCCTCACTGCGGTGTAGGTCGGCGCTCGTCTTCTGTCGACGTATGGCACGCTGCAGATGGATGTGTGCAGCGTTCCACGTCTCCTCCGAGCGCCGCACCCACTCATCCACAGCGGGGGCCTCGATCTGGCTCTCATGCCACGGTGCCAGAACCGGCTGGTACCCTAACACACACTGGAAAGGGGTTAGTCTCGTGGAGGAGTGGCGGAGAGAGTTCTGTGCCATCTCGGCCCAGGGCACATATCTCGCCCACTCCTCCGGCCGGCCCTGACAATATGACCTCAGAAACCTACCCACATCCTGGTTGACTCGTTCGACCTGCCCATTACTCTCTGGGTGGTAACCCGAGGTAAGGCTCACCGAGACCCCCAAACGTTCCATAAATGTCCTCCAGACTCTGGAGGTAAACTGGGGGCCTCGATCGGACACTATATCCTCGGGCACCCCATAATGCCGGAAGACGTGAGTAAATAGAGCCTCAGCGGTCTGTAGGGCAGTAGGAAGACCCGGCATGGGAAGGAGACGACAGGCCTTCGAGAACCGATCCACAACGACCAGGATGGTGGTATTCCCCTGTGAGGAGGGAAGATCGGTAACAAAATCCACCGAGAGGTGAGACCAGGGTCGTTGTGGAACGGGCAGGGGCTGTAATTTCCCCCTGGGCAAGTGTCTGGGCGCCTTACACTGGGCACACACTGAGCAGGAGGAGACATAAACCCTCACATCCCTGGCTAACGTTGGCCACCAGTACTTCGTACTAAGGCAGTGCACTGTCCGGCCAATACCTAGATGTCCAGAGGAGGGGGACGTGTGAGCCCAATAAATCAGCCGATCCCGGACCTCGAGCAGGACGTACGCCCGACCCACCGGACACTGTGGAGGACTAGGGTCGGTGCGTAACGCCCGCTCGATCTCCGCATCGACCTCCCACACCACCGGTGCCACCAGACAAGACTCCGGTAGTATGGGAATGGACTCCACGCACCTCTCCTCCGTGTCATACCGACGGGACAGAGCATCTGCCTTCCCGTTCTGGGACCCAGGGATGTAAGTGATCTTGAACACAAACCGGGCGAGAAACATAGTCCATCGAGCCTGGCGAGGATTCAGTCTCCTAGCTGCCCGAATGTATTCCAGGTTACGATGGTCGGTCAGAATGAGGAAAGGGTGCTGAGCCCCCTCAAGCCAATGCCTCCACACCTTTAGGAACTGTACTACAGCTAACAGCTCCCTGTCCCCTACGTCATAATTCCGCTCCGCCGGACTGAGCTTCTTAGAATAAAAGGCACAGGGGCGGAGCTTAGGTGGTGTACCGGATCGTTGAGAAAGAACTGCCCCGATACCGGCCTCAGACGCGTCCACCTCAACTTGGAAGGGTAAAGTGGGATCCGGGTGCGCCAACACCGGAGCCGAGGTAAACAGGTCATTCAGTCTCCCAAAGGCCCTGTCCGCCTCAGCCGACCACTGCAAGCGCACCGGACCCCCCTTCAGAAGAGACGTTATGGGAGCTGCCACCTGTCCAAAACCCCGGATAAACCTCCGGTAGTAATTCGCAAAACCCAAGAACCGCTGCACCTCTTTAACCGTAGTTGGGGTTTGCCAATTACGCACGGCTGACACTCGGTCCACCTCCATTCTCACCCCTGACGCAGACAACTGGTAACCCAAAAAGGAAACTGACTCCTGAAAGAACAGAAATTTCTCAGCTTTGACATACAGGTCATGCTCCAACAGTCTCCTCAATACCCTGCGCACCAGGGCTACATGCTCGGCCCGAGTAGAACTGTACACAAGAATATCATCTATGTACACCACTACTCCCTGCGCCTGCATGTCCCGGAAAATTTCATCTACAAACGATTGGAAGACTGATGGAGCATTCATTAACCCATATGGCATGACGAGATACTCGTAATGGCCGGAGGTAGTACTAAATGCTGTCTTCCACTCATCGCCCTCCCTAATGCGCACCAAGTTATATGCGCTCCTGAGGTCCAATTTTGTGAAGAACCGTGCCCCGTGTAATGACTCCGTCATGGTCCCAATCAGCGGGAGTGGATAACTATATTTCACAGTTACCTGATTGAGACCGCGGTAATCAATACACGGACGCAAACCTCCATCCTTTTTCTTCACAAAAAAGAAGCTTGAGGACGCGGGAGAAGTGGAGGGCCGTATGTATCCCTGTCTCAGAGACTCGGCAATGTAAGTTTCCATTGCCCTTTTCTCCTCCTGTGACAAAGGATACACATGGCTCCGCGGAAGCGCGGCTCCTGTCTGGAGGTCTATCGAGCGCCAAATCCTCATACTCAGGAGGAATGTGCAGTGCTGGCATCTGGTTCGGACTCTCCACCGAGGTCGCCCCTACGGAAACACCCAGACATAACCCCTCACACTGAGCAGACCACCCTTTAAGAGCCTTCTCTCGCCACGAAATAGTAGGATCATGGGTAATCAACCAGGGAAGCCCCAGTACCACCGGATACGCAGGAGAGTCGATCAGATAGAGTTGAATCGTCTCCTCATGACCCCCCTGCGTCATCATCCTAAGTGGCGCTGTGACCTCCCCAATCAACCCAGATCCTAACGGACGACTATCTAAGGCATGTACAGGAAAGGGCTTTTCGACTGGAAGGAGGGGAATCCCTAACTTAACACAGAATTTCCGATCTACAAAATTCCCAGCTGCGCCTGAATCGACTAGCGCCTTATGCTGGGAACGAGGTGCAACCTGTGGGAAACAAACAGGTAATGTAATGTGTATGACAGAAAGCTCTGGGTAAGTAGGGCGCCTACTCACCTGGGAGGACTCCCCACTGTATGACCTGCCATCTCCCTCACCAGGGGACCCTCCCCAGCACCTAGACGCGGTGTGTCCTCCGCGGCCACACTTGGTGCAGGAGACTGCCCCCCTCGGGCTCCTACCTCTTCTCCCTCTAGCGCCAGCACCTCCAAGCTCCATCGGACTCTGCTCGGAGGCGCTGGAGGGTGGAATGGGAGGCCCCCACCTGGGACGTCCGCGGGTCGCAAGCAGGGTGTCCAGTCGAATGGCCATGTCCACCAGCTGGTCAAATGTTAGTGTAGTGTCCCTGCATGCTAACTCCCTGCGGACGTCCTCCCGAAGGTTACATCTAAAGTGGTCTATGAGGGCCCTCTCATTCCACCCAGCATCAGCCGCTAGAGTCCGGAACTCCAGCGCAAACTCTTGAGCGCTCCTCATCCCCTGTCGGAGGTGGAATAGACGCTCCCCCGCCGCCTTCCCCTCTGGTGGATGGTCGAAGACTGCACGGAAGCGGCGGGAGAACTCCGCATAGGTGACTGTGGCGGCGTCTATTCCCCTCCATTCGGCGTTGGCCCACTCCAACGCCTTGCCGGTGAGACATTTGATGAGGGCGGAAACGCTCTCGTATCCCGAGGGCGCCGGGTGTATGGTGGCAAGGTAGAGCTCCACTTGTAAGAGGAACCCCTGACACCCGGCAGCGGTGCCGTCGTACGCCCTCGGGAGCGAGAGCCGAATCCCACTGGGTTCCGGTCGATGGACGGGCTGGCTGTCCGGTGGTGATGGTGCGATAGGTGGGGCTGTGGGAACCCCGCTGGTTTCCCATCGACGAAGGGTGTCCATGACGCCCTCCAAGGCGTGCCCGATCCGGTTGATTCGGTGCTCTTGACCAAGGAGACGCTCCTCCATGATGTCGACGGGTGCTCCTGCTGATTCCATGTGTGGTGTATAATTCTGTCACGCTGCTGTGGATTGGTGTGGTGTAGAATCAGGCGCAGGAAGCAGAGGATAAGTCCAACAAGACTTTACTAGAGCACACAAAAATAATCCAAACAGCCCGGAGGCAAAAGGACGCACACAGGCGTAAATAAGCGAGCGCACACACAGGTGCGAAAATACTCTCCTAAACACAAGGAGGAAGCTATGAAAATAGCGTACCGACACGGGTAGCGCAACAACACGACACGAACAATTACACACAACACTAAACTAACAACAAGGAAACTAAATAGGGTGCTAAATGAGACATAACACAAAACAGGTGTGACTAACAGACAAAACCAATCAAACAAGAAACATAGAGCGGTGGCAGCTAGTACTCCGGAGACGACGACCGGCGAAACCTGCCCGAACAAGGAGGAGGAGCCGCCTCGGCCGAAACCGTGACAGTAGATGGATAAAAATATAAAAAGCAGACATTGGATATCCCTTTGAGCATGGTGAAGTTATTAATAACACTTTGGATGGTGTATCAATACACCCAGTCACTCCAAAGATACAGGCGTCCTTCCTAACTCAGTTGCTGGAAGGAATGAAACCGCTTAGGGATTTCACCATGAGACCAATGGTGACTTCAAAACAGAGTTTAATGGCTGTGATAGGAGAAAACTGAGGATGGATCAACAACATTGTAGTAGTTACTCCACAATCAAGGGAAATGGTGGCTGCTTTGAAGAATCTCAAATATAAAATATATTTTGATTTGTTTAACACTTTTTTGGTAACTACATGATTCCATATGTGTTATTTCATAGTTTTGATGTCTTCACTATTACTCTACAATGTAGAAAATAGTAAAAAGAAAGAAAAACCCTTGAATGAGTAGGTGTGTCCAAACTTTTGACTGGTAAATTAGATTTCTTTGTTTAATTTAATACATTTGCAAAAATGTCTAAAAAACATGTTTTCACTTTGTCATTATGGGGTATTGTGTGTAGATGGGTGAGAAATGTATTCAATCCATTTTGAATTCAAGCTGTAACAACAAAATGTAGAATAAGTCAAGGGGTATGAATACTTTCTGAATGCATTTTATATCCTCTATAAATACAAAAGTAAATACAAAACACTTTTTTAGAAATATTTTTAAGTTGTACCTATTTTTGGAAGTGGATAAGAATGCAGAATTGTTTATGTTGAAGCACCACAAGCACACTAATAAACAAGAAGGGCTGAATGAATTGAACTTTGTCTATAAGTAAATCTGAAACTGCACTGTTCACAAGTTCGTAAAGTCACCACTAGATGTCATCATCAGCATTATAGATCTGTGCCAGATAGCAGATTTCTGAAAACTAACTAGTAATATCTGCGCTTTATCTGTGGAATAAAGACCGATACACATATTTCTGTGAATGGCAAATATCAGCTGATAATATTGGTCACCCGATTTATCAGTAGGGCTCTAAACAAAACATTTTCCAAAAGTAGCCCAATTACCGGGAGAGATGGGGGCAACTTTCTTGTAGCCCGCGGTGCTCAAGTTCAGAACAGCTGTCAGTCAAAACCCATACAGAGCTGTGAAGCAGAGACTGAGCTCTAACATCATGTAGAAAATGTGCATTTTTATTTTAAACATGGTGGTTTTGACAACCATTGTCAATTTAAAAAAAACTTGTCATCAATCATATTCACACCTGTTCAGGTTGTTCACCTTTTTCCCCCATTCATTAGGGTCATATGGTGACATTCACAGGGCATCAACCTCAGTTATTTTAGACACAAGTTACATCATTTCAGAACCTTGCCATACTGATATGATATTAATAGAGATTCATTTTGAATGTTTTAGAGTGTTGATAGAGGTTATTCTAGAATGTTCTACAGTGTTGATGTAGATGCATCTTGAAGGTTCTATCTCTCTGTGCAGGATAAGAGTACATTCCTCCTGGTTCTGGATGCCAAGACATGGGAGGAGCTGGGGAGAGCCGAGGTGCCTGTCAACATTCCCTATGGTTTCCATGGGGCCTTCAACCCCACCGCCTAGATCTGCATTACTGACCTACCAATCACCCCCTTCCCTCCAAGGAAATGAACGTCCTAAATATGATTAGGCTATAGTTTACTCCCATATTATTGATCACCCATATTTCTCTCCGTTTGAAAATCATCCTGCTCCTGAAAGATGGGCTATAAAACATAGCTCAAGAGCAGTGCGTCGCCCATATCGCCCTATTGAACACACCGCCCCTGCCTATAGGGTGCAAAATGACTGGGAAAATGACTGGCAAGCGAGCTGTCACATACGCCTAAAATAACATTGAAGGACTGGGTTCGGGACCAGTTCTTGGTAGCAGGTCGGAGTCAGACAGAAATCCAACGGGAGCGGGCGAGTGCAGTATGAAGTAAATCAGACCGAGCCACTCTTCATAATATTAAAATGACTGTAATTAAGTGACATGTTCAGTAGAAGAGATTCCACAAAGCGCTGATGCGCTTTACAAAGATTCAAAAAACATGCATAATCTTTTGTCTCTATTCGCACACAGACCGGACAGAAGATTGTTAAATGTGCCTGTATGATAATAATATGCCAAATTATGCCAGTCAGAATGTCGACTGTAGGTTGCTTAAAGTCAAAAGACTGCAGTAGTATCAGAACAAATACAACAACTATACAACAATGTTATACATTATTGACTAATACTTTTCCTTACATTTTTCTAATGATTTTTGTATTATATTTTATTTTACCTTTTTTTAAATAGGGAGTCACCATTGAGACCAGGGTATCTTTCACAAGGGAGCCTTGCATATACAATTAATGAGACAAAATCGAATTAAAATGTAATACAATGTAACAAACTAAAATACAGCACAACACAAATATTCAAGAAAAACTGTTATATTCCTCAGTAAGAAATTCCCCAATCAATATTGTAAATTGCCAGAGCGTCACCAGAACATCCAATTGTAATATATTTTGAAGTTTGATCCAGCAATGGCAGATTTACCTAGCTTAGTGGAGAGCCGAGGAACCTCAAGAGTTAACCAACCCTGTGAACAGGTTTGATATATCATGTTTTTATACTTTAACAATGAAGTTAAGTAAGTTGGAAGCTTGTGTAGTATAGCTTTATAAACAAAAAGGGAGTAATGAAGTGATCTACGGGACTTTAATGAGGACCAGTCAACCTTTTGATACAAGATGCAGTTGGTGAGTGTTAAAACTGTGACCTGTGATAAAAAACGAATGGTGCTATGATAGACGGCATACAAAGTTTCAAGAGTAGTGGCTGCTGCAATCTGGTAAATGGTGTCACCATAGTCAAGAACTGGCCGCAAAATGAATGTACCATCTGCTTCCTGCTATTTAGGAAGAGGCAAGATCTATTTCTAAAAAAGAAGCCCACTTTAAATCTTAGCTTTTTAACTGGCTCTTCCATATGTTTTTAAAACATGAAATCTTTGTCAATCCAAATGCCCAGATATTTATAGGCGGGAACCCGATCGATGGGAGAACCATCCAATGAACAACATGTATTTAGTCTTGCCCTCATTAGGTACAAGTTTTAAACCAACCATGGCTTTCTGTAAGGTAACAATGTCAGATTGCAGCTCTTACATAGCCTGGTCAACAGTTAGGGCAATGGCATACAGATGAATATTACACGTTAACAGATAGACTAATATAATTTATATAAAAAGTAAAGAGAACAGGTCCCAATACCGACCCCTGCGGTACACGTTTTGTAATATCCAGGTCCTGTGTCCTGTCTGACAGATCATTCTCAAACCACTTGTAAGAAGCCTGATCCAGGCCTATTTCAGTCAATCTTTTAATGAGAACGTGATTTTCAACAGTATCGAAGGCCTTGGAAGGTCTGTTAATAAGGAAGCACAATGATTTTTATGATCTAAGAAATTGAACACATAATCTAAAACAAGTGTAGCAGCTGAAACGGTGCTATGTCCAGGTCTAAAACCCGACTGGTATACATTAAGAATAGAGTGAGACGTTAAAAATGTTATTAGCTGAGAGTTGGCCAGGGATTCAATAACTTTGGAAAGGCAAGATAATTTGGAAATTGGACGGTAGTTATCTATACTGAACAAAAATATAAAAGCAAGGTGTAAAGTGTTGGTCCCATGTTTCATGAGCTGAAATTGAAGATCCCAAAAATGTTCAATACACACAAAAAGCGCATTTCTTTCACATTTTGTGAACAAATTTGTTTATATCCCTGTTAGTGAACATTTCTCCTTTGCCAAGATAATCCATCCACCTGACAGGTGTGGCATTTTAAGAAACTGATTAAACAGCATTATCATTACATAGGTGCACCTTGTGCTGGGGACAATAAAGGGCCACTCTAACATGTGTAGTTTTGTGTCACAACGCAATGCCACAGAGGTCTCAAGTTCTGATTGAGCGTGAAATGATAGAATGACTATGAGGTTAAAGTGTAGTCTGTCAGCTTTAATTTAATGTTCATCCGTATTGGGTGAACCGTTTAGAAATTACAGCACTTTTTTGTACATATTCCCCCCATTCTAGGGGACCAAACGTATTGGGACAAATTCACTTGTGTAGTAAACAGTTAAGTATTTGGTCCCATATTAATAGCACGCAATGGCTACATCAAGCCTGTGACTCTACACATTTGTTGGATGCACTTGCTGTTTGTTTTGGTTGTGGTTAGGATTAGAAATGAATGGTAAATAATGTATTGTGTCACTATGAAGTCACTTTTACTGTAAATAAGAATATAATATGTTTCTAATCACTTCTACATTCATGTGGATGCTACCATGATTACATATAATGCTGAATGAATCTAGAATAATGATGAGTGTGAAAGTTAGACGCACAAATATCATACTCCCCCCAAAGAAAATGATAACCTCCTCTGTTATGGTAATGGTGAGAGGTTAGCATGTCTTGGGGGTATGATATTTGTGTGTCTGTAACTTTCTCACTCATCATTATTTATGATTCATTCAGGATTCTCCGTATTCATGGTACCATCCACATTAATATACAATAGAAGTGTTTAGAAATATATTATATTCTTATTTAAAGTAAACGTGACTCTATAGTGACACAATACATTATTTACCATTCATTTCTATTGGGCACAAAATAATCTTAAACACAACTAAAACAAATATTAAATGCATCCAACAAATTTGTAGAGTCACAGGCTTGATGTAGTCATTGCGTGCTATGAATATGGGACCAAATACTTAACTTTTTACTACTTTAATACACAATAATAATAGTGAATTTGTCCCAATACTTTTTGTCCCCTAAAATGGTGGGGCTATGTACAAAAAGTGCTGTAATTTCTACACGGTTCACCCGATATGGATGAAAATACCCTCAAATTAAATCTGACTGTCTCCAATTTAACCATTGTATCATTTCAAATCCAAAGTGCTGGAGTACAGAGCCAAAACAACCAAAACATGTGGCACTGTCCCACTACTTTTGGAATTCACTGTATTTCTCAAATGTATGGACTGTCAATCAGACTTAGAATAAGTCAGTCTAGCCTTAGCTCAAACCACATTTCTTTCCTGTAATTTCTCAGAAAATTAATGTGTGAACCAAGAATTAGACCTGTCTTTTACCCTAAGTTTTTAGTATGGTGCATGTTTATCTGCAACATAGTTAAACAGGAAAATAAAACAATTAAGGCCTGATATGAGTCAGTGATAATTGACACAAACCCACCAGTTAGTCAACCCCAGCTCAGACAAAAAATTGTTCTCATTAAAATTCCTAGAAAATAATTTTGTAATAATGCGTGAGCGAGATTTAGGTAGTTTAACGTCTTTTATGCAGGCAACAGGACAATGATCACTGAACTCATTAGCAAAAATCCCATTGGCTGTAAACTTATGAGGGGCATTTGTTAGAATAATAACTAAAATAGTAGATTTTTCAGGGAGTTTAAAGTTGGGGCGAGTTGGTTTAGTTAATTTAGCTAAATGAGATTAAGCTCAATACAAATATCTTTCAGCCCATCAGATACTGGCATCAACCAATCCAGATTAAGATAACCCTCTATTAATAATTCGGATTTAGCACAGTTATACAGCAGGTCAGACAATTTGCTAAGATCACATATGGAGGCAGAGGGAGGGTGATATATTCCCACTAGCGTCAGATGGGCATTATTACCAAGTCAACATTTAGGACTAGATATTCAAATTGCTTAGGGAGAGAGGTGGTAATGGATACAGAAATATTTAAATTGCTCTTTATGTATACAGTGACACCCCCTCCTCTGTCAACTCTGTCAGATCTAAAAACATAACCAGTCAGAGACACATCAGAGTCCGGCATATATTTTTTTTATTAACCCACTTCAGAGGACTCATATCTTTTTGAGTTTTTACAGCTTTTCTGCTACATACAGTGCATTCGGAAAGTATTCAGACACCTTACTTATTTCGAAAACAAATTATGTTACAGCCTTATTCTAAAATGTATTAAATTGTTTTTTGTCCTCATCAATCTACACACAATACCCTATAATGACAAAGCAAAAGCAGCTTTTTAGACATTTTTGCAAACTTATTACAAATAAAAAACTGAAATAATACATTTACATAAGTATTCAGACCCTTAACTGAGTACTTTGTTGAAGCACCTTTGGCAGCGATTACAGCTTCAAGTCTTCTTGGGTATGACGCTACAAGCTTGGCACACCTGTATTTCTCCCATTTTCTGCAGATCCTCTCAAGCTCGGTCAAGTTGGATGGGGAGCATCGCTGCATAGCTATTTTCAGGTCTCTCAAGAGACGTTCGATCGGGTTCACGTCCAGGCTTTGGCTGGTCCACTCAAGGACATACAGATACTTGTCCCGAAGCCACTCCTGTATTTTCTTGGCTGTGTGCTAAGGGTCGTTGTCCTGTTGGAAGGTGAACTTTCGCACCCAGTCTGAGGTCTTGAGCGCTCTGGATCAGGTTTCCATCAACGATCTCTCTGTACTTTGCTCTGTTAATCTTTCCCTCGATCCTGACTAGTCTCCCAGTCCCTGCCGCTGAAAAACATCCCCACAGCATGATGCTGCCACCACCATGCTTCACTGTAGGGATGGTGCCAGGTTTCCTCCAGATGTGACGCTTGGCATTCAGGCCAAAGAATTCAATCTTGGTTTCATCAGACCAGAGAATCTTGTTTCTCATGGTCTGAGAGTCATTTAGGTGCCTATTGGCAAACTCCAAGAGGGCTGTCATGTGCCTTTTACTGAGGGTTGGCTTCCGTCTGACCACTCTACCATAAAGGCCTGATTAGTGGAGTGCTGCAGAGATGGTTGTCCTTCTGGAAGGTTATCCCATCTCCACAGAGGAACTCTTGAGCACTGTCAGAGTGACCATCGGGTTCTTGGTCACCTCCCTGACCAAGGCCCTTCTCCCCCGATTGCTCAGTTTGGCCGGGCGGCCAGCCCTAGGAAAAG